ATTCTGGGTTTGTTAAAATATACGATTGCCAGATCTCAAGCAACATTTACAGTAAGATTTTATGTGTTTGACAGTTGTAAAGTGTTTGTAATGTGTAATTTGATTTAAGTCTTATAAAGGATAAACCAGCACTTTAATTGCATGCATTTTAACTTAACCCTTTTTTCATGACCCCCTCCAGAGCAGTCCATCAGCATTGTGCGGGAGCTTAGTTCAGTAGAAGTGACAGAACCCTTTGCAGCAGTCTTTGAGGTTGAAATCAGTATGGAACTGGTGAAACCTCCCATATGGACTCTGAATGGAGTTGCTGTACAGGAGAGTGCCGATGTGGAAATGGAGAAAGAGGGCACGCTGCACCGTCTCACTTTCAAAAAGACCAAAGCATCAATGACTGGACCTGTGCAGTTTACAGCTGGGAAGAGCAAATCTCTCGCCCAACTCACAGTAAAAGGTAAAGGTGTCAATCCAGTAGTTATAATGAAGAGTATTTGTTTATTTGCACAAACTTTCTGTTAAAAATTCCTAATAAGATTCTGTTCCTCATATTTAGAGCGTCCACTTGAGATTGCAGAGCCCATTAAAGATGTCAAGGCGAAGGAGAAAAGCTCTGCCCTGTTCTGCTGCAAATTCTCCGCCTCACCCAAAGAGGTGAATTGGTTTAAAGGTCAGGTTCATCTGGCAGCATCAGACAAGTACAATATGAAGAAAGACGCCACAAGGGCTCAGCTTACTATTCAAGGACTAACTGGAGAAGACAGTGGAGAGTATCGCTGTCAGTCTGGACCTGCTGAGACCAAAGGCACACTCACTGTTGAAGGTACAGTGTGCACCTTTGTATACAAGTCTTACGGCTGCTGTCAGGAACACAGACAGGGTGGAGACAAACACAGACACACAAAGGCAGGATGATGCAATGGAGATACTTAAAATTATAGACATGAACTAACTTACTGGCAGACGGGTGGATGAACGCTTTAGGTGGACAAGCAGTAATCCAAACGTACACACAGAAGTAATAATCAGTTTGAGGTTGGCGATTAGATTAGCTGGAGAAACATGAAGCAGGATTTAAATTTGAATTTAAATTGACATGAATGATTTTCAAAATCAAAGCACAGAAAACCTTGACAACAAAGCAAAAAATATCTTCAGGAGCAGGGTGGGATGTAACAATCGCAAAATAACAGTTAATAACAGTTTCTAATTAAAACATTATATATTTTAGCATCTGTTTTTGGACTAAAGTGGACTCTGAACTAAAACTACCGTCTTTTTTCCTTTTTATAGTGCGAGAAATTAAAATTACCAAGCACTTGGTCGACACAGAGGTCGATGAAGACAGTGATGCAGTGTTTACGTGTGAGATTAACTATGCAGATGAAGAGGTACAGTGGCTTCTGAAGGACAAGGTGCTCTTCACTAATGAAGTCAACACCATCTCTCATGAGGGGAAGGTTCACAAGCTCATGCTGAAGAACTTGGCTCCTCAGGACGGGGGGACCATCACCTTTCAAGTACGCAAGGTGAAAGAGTCTGTTTCACTCAAAGTAAAAGGTAAGAACAGTTGCTCATATTATCATGCACACAAAAAAGATTTCTCAGTTAACACAATTAAGCGAACCGAGTTTCTCTCTTAAGTGACATTACATTAAATCAGTTTATTTCCAAAAGCCAAGCTTACTCAGATTATTTCAGCGAATATAAAAGTTGTCAATTGGGCTAAAAAGGTGAAAACATAATATATACGCACACACCACTCTATCCTTTCTCTCCTTTGCCCTCCAGAGAAGCTTGCTGTGTTCCTCAAGTCTCTCGATGATGTCATTGGAGAGGAGAAAGGCATGATAACTCTGGCGTGTGAGGCGTCCAAGCCCAGGGTTTCTCCTACATGGAGAAAAGAAGGTAAAGTCTTGAAGGCTGGACCCAAGTATGAGCTTCTCCACACAGGCAAGTCTTTGGGCCTGATCATCAAGGACGCCACCAAAGACGATGCTGGGGAGTACAGCTGTGATCTAGGAACTGAAATGTCCAAGGCAAAGGTCACTGTAAGAGGTTGGTACTGTTGTTTAAATAAACAGTTCTGCTGTGTTAGCCTGGATATGAATTGTTTTCATCAGCATCTTTGTCATTTTATGATCTCTGTCCCAAATTTAGAGATTGGTATTGGAATTACCAAATGGCTTAAGTCTGCTGAGGTAAACGAGGGGGAGACATGCAGCTTTGAGTGCATCTTATCTCGTGAGAACACAGATGAGTGCTCGTGGACTCTGAATGGCAAAGCCATTTCAAATGGAGGCCGTTTCAAAGTCGCCAATAAAGGCCGCAAGTACATGCTAACCATAAAGGATGTCACCCCTGCTGATGCTGGTGAGGTGGTCTTCAACATTCAGGACTTGAGCACTAAAACAACATTAACAGTTGAAGGTAAGCTGCATATCTATTTTCGAGAAGTAGAAAGTTAGAAAAAGACTAAGTTCTTGAAATAAACATGTCAACATCCCTCGGTGCAGGCAGAGCTTCATCTGTGTCCAGAGGACTGCAGAATGTTAGTGCTGTTCAAGGGGAAGATGCTGTATTTACCTGTGAGGTGACACAGGCTAGGTCCACTGTAAAGTGGGCCAAAGAAGGCAAAGCCATCAAGAAGAGCCAGAAGTACGACATCAGCCAAGAGGAGAAGGTCATGAAGCTCACCATCCATAATGTCTCTGCCCAAGACTCAGGAGAGTACAGCTGTGAAGTTGTTGGAGGTGCAACCACCAAAGGCCAACTGGAAATAAAGGGTGAGACATTAAAGATACTAACCTATGACAACACTTGTTAAGATTGTGGTTAAAAAAAAAAAAAATCTTAAAATTGACATCAGTTTAGGGGTAGGGTTATTTTCTGAAACCATGGAGCAAGATTTCACAAATTCAAACTGTGTCTTTAGTTTTAGTGAGGTTGTTCTCTTTTATACAGAGCCAATCCATAAATTCACTAAAGTGCTAAAGGACAGCCAGGCAGACGAGAAGAGCTCTGTGACCCTGCAGTGTGAGACAGCTCAAACCCCATCAGCAGTGATCTGGCTTAAAGGGCACACAGAGCTCAAGGCAGGAGGTCGATATGAGATGTCCCAGAAAGAGAGGGTCTTAACTCTCACCATCAAACAGCTGGAGGAGAAAGACACAGATATCTACACCTGTGATGTGATCACTGCTAAGAACATGGCAAAGGTGACGGTCAAAGGTAAGAACCTTCTATGTATGTGTCTTGCATAGTTGATTATCTTTATATTTCTTAATTTAATAAACATGACGAGAATATCTTGCTTTTGAAAATATGATAGGGATATACTTTGAAAGAAAATGACCTCTGCTAAGATACAGTATTATTACGTACCTGGTGTTAACCATGTCATTCAATTAAAGAGCATGAAAAACTAACATTCATACACTAGGGTATGTTAAATATTTTCAAGAATACATTTTTTACAGTTCTTCCATTGTCAATGCATTTTAGATGTTTTTGTAGGCAAAATCTTGTGCGCCTGTGTTCAGTATGTTTTCTGTGATCGTTTAAGTTGCAGTGTTGTCATGGCTCATAGTTTGGTTAGTTTCCAATTTAACCGGCACCTTAAATAGAAATAGATTAGTAGAATTGTTGCTACATCATTTGTATTTTCTAATAGAAGTAGTTCTGTGTGTCTTGCTTTGTGAGTGTTTCACGATAAGATTTTCTTTTTGTGTGACTGGGAGACAGCAAATTGTAAAAAGCATCCGTAAGTATGTGCTCATGCTTCCAATTGACCTGTTCCCAAATGAATTGTGTTGTTATGTTAATATGCTCCCTGCATAAATCAATATTTCCAATGTTGGTAATGATTTGTGCTTTTCAATTGTTTGGGTTCAAAATGCTAATGCCGACACAATGCTACAACCTGTTTATTATCATCAACCCACTGTTGGTTTTATTTTAGCCCTTCCTGCCACTTTTAAAGAAAAACTCAAGAACCAGGATAAAAAAGAAGGGGAGACTGTGACACTTTGTTGTGAGTTATCAAAACCTGCGACCGACATTCAGTGGAAGAAAGGCTCTGAAATCCTCAAAGCTGGAGAGAAGTATGAGATGAAGCAGAAGCACACCGCTCTGGAACTTCAAATTAAAGATTTGAAGGTTGAAGATAGTGGAGAGTACTCTTGTGTGTGTGTAGACCAGAAGACATCTGCAACTGTGAAAGTCAATGGTACGAATCTCGGCAAAGTTTTATAGAGAAATCAACCAAATAGTTTCACTTGTGTTGCCTTGTTCTATATATTCAAAACAGTTTATTTCACCCATTTTGAGTAATGTAGTAATGGAAGTAATTAAAATTTGGTTGTACAGCATTGCCGCCGACATTCATACAGAAGTTGAAGACTCAAGAAGCTGAGGAGGGAGTGGAAATTACTTTGCACTGTGAGCTCTCCAAACCTGGAGTCTCAGTGGAGTGGAAGAAGGGAAGTCAGATCCTGAAGTCTGGAGAGAAGTACCAGATGAAGCAGAAAGCCTCT